GCCCTGCTGCGGGCGGGCGCGGACGTGGACTGGCGGGACGTGGAGGATCGCACGGCGCTGCGGGCAGCTGCCTGGGGGGGGCACGAGGGCATCGTGCGGATGCTGCTGGCGCACGGTGCCCAGGTGAACCGGGCCGACACCGAGGGGCGCACGGCCCTGATCGCTGCCGCCTACATGGGGCACCGGGAGATCACGGAACTGCTGCTGGCGCACGGCGCCGACATCGACCACGCCGACGCGGACGGGCGCACGGCGCTGTCCCTGGCGGCCCTGTGCGTGCCGGCCAGCCGCGGGCACGCCGACGTGGTGAGCCTGCTGCTGGAGCGCGGGGCACACGCGGGGCACCACGACCGACACGGCATGACCCCGCTGCTGGTGGCCGCCTGCGAGGGCCACGCCGAGGTGGCCGAGCTGCTGCTGGAGGGCGGGGCCGATGTGGAGCAGGCGGACGCCGCGGGGCGCACCCCACTGTTGGTGGCCGCCGCCATGGGGCACGGCGCCGTGGTGCAGACCCTGCTGCTGTGGGGCGCGGCTGCAGGCGCCAAGGATGCCAAGGGCCGCACGGCTCTGAGCCTGGCGGCCGCCCAGGGCAGCAAGCACGTGGTGCGGACCCTGCTGGAGCGCGGGCTGGACAAGAACCACCCGGACGCCATGGGCTGGAGCCCGCTGCACCTGGCCGCCTGGGAGGGGCACACAGGGGCCTGTGGGGTGCTGGCCGAGCACGGCGCCCGCCTGGACCAGCAGGACAGGGACGGCTGCACCCCCCTCATCCTGGCAGCCCAGGAGGGCCACAGCGAGTGCGTGCGGCTGCTGCTGGGAAGTGGCTCCCCCGTGGATCACCGGGACCACGATGGGCGCATGGCGCTGGGCGCGGCTGCACTGGGGGGGCACCGGGCCACGGCCGAGCTGCTGCTGCGCCACAGGGCTGACCCCAACCTGCCGGATGCCGCGGGGCGGCCCCTGGTCTACCTGCTGGTGCTGGGGGGCTGCCAGGACCTGCTGGAGCTGCTCCTGGCGAGTGGCAGCGACCCGGAGGCGCGGGACGCCCAGGGGCGCACGGCGCTGCACGTCTCCTGCTGGCAGGGGCGGCTGGAGGCGGCGCGGGCACTGGTGCACCACGGCGCCGACGTCAACGCGCTGGACATGGAGCAGCGCTCGGCCCTGCACTCGGCTGCCTGGCAGGGCCACGCCAGCACCGTGCGCTTCCTGCTGGAGCGCGGGGCGCACGTGGACCAGGCCTGCAGCCAGGGCGCCACAGCGCTGGGCATCGCCGCCCAGGAGGGCCACGGCGAGGTGGTGTGGGCGCTGCTGGAGATGGGCGCCGACCCCACCCACACCGACTGGTACGGGCGCACGCCCAGCCACGTGGCCGCCCGGCGGGGCCAGGCCGCCATCCTGCACCTGCTGCAGAGCCACGGGGTGCCCACCGCCACCACCTGCTCCCCGTCGGGCGCCTCCGGCCACTCCTCCGCCAGCGCCCCGGCGCCCCCCGCCCCCAGCCAGGGGCCCGGCTCGAACTCGCCACAGTCCACAGCCGACGCCTCCCTGCACAGCTCCCGCGGCTCCACCTGCCACTCGCTGGCCACGGCGCAGACGGTGCCGGCCGACAGCCCGACCTTCACCCAGCAGCTGCAGCACTCGCTGCCCCGCAGCCGCCCGGCCCCCACCCCCAAGAGCCCCCAGCCCAGCCTGGCACTGCCCGGAGCCCCAGAGCCACAGGCAGGCAGCCCGGGGCGGGAGGTGCCGTCCCCCGAGTGGGACCCCAAGCCCAACGGCTTCCTGCCCTGGCAGGATGGGGGGCTGACAGGGACCCTCTCCCTCGCCACGCTGGACCCCCAGCTGCACCTCAAGCGAGCCGTCAAGCTGCAGTTCGAGGGCCCCACCTGCTGCAATGACCCCAGGAAGGAGACGCCGCTGTGAAGGTGAAGGGAGCAGATGCCGGGGGCAGCGCTGGGGGGGAGGGGCTGGGGCTGGCCCTTCCCCACTGTCTTCCTGCTTGGCTGTGGGGCCGGGCAGCCAGGGGGCCGGGCGTGCTGCTGGCGGATCGAGCGCGGTTAGCGCCCGGGGCGGGTGGGCCGGGGTTACTCCAGGGGAGGCATCGCCCCCTGCTGGCTCCAGCCTGTTCCCCACAGCCCCTCACTGCCCCCCGCCCCCCTGGTTGCCTTTGCAGGTGGAGCCGCCCAAGGAGAACGGCCCCGTGGGGCAAGAGACTAGGCCTCGTGGACCTGCCCTGGCTGCTGGCTGGGACAAGCTGCCAGGGACGTGGGGGCTATGCCCCAGGGCTGGGGCGTCCTCGGCCTAGCTGCTGTGGGGAGTGACCCAGGTGGCCAGACACTGGCAGAGCCGAGCTTAGCAGGGGCTGCGGGTCGGGAGTGAGGGGCACTGGCAGGGCTGGGCTAGCAGGGG